TCTCTCTCTCTCTCTCTCTCTCTCTCTCTCTCTCTCTCTCTCTCTCTCTTCCGTCGTCTCAAATATATTCTAATCAGGTGTTCCGAATATCTCTAACAGATCAATGGAACGTATCGCGATTTATCCATTTTTCAATAACTCACTCATTTGAAACTTATACAAATGTAATCAAAATTTAAGAAGGTTGCTAATGGCTAATCGCTCGATACACGCTCGGTGGAATAATTGGTGGTTTCGACGGAAGACGAGCGAAACGAGTCCATAATTGATGAAATCCGAATTTCTCAAGCACGAAGAAAAGTTCGAATCTCGAATAGACACTGTACAAATGGACACAGAAACGTTCGCTTCGTTTTTCATTTTTTTTTCACATATATCACGAGAGAGAGAGAAAGAGAAACTCCCAACTGTAATTCTGATTCTACTGCTCATATATATTTTATTTAAAGTCTACTTGGTATTCTGAAGTCTATATTAAACTCTTTTGGTTCTATTTCATCTATACTAATTTTATCGAAGAGTCCTCTTTAAAATCCACAAATTCGGTATTTTCTGCCATTTAAAGGCGCGAAATAGGATTTCAATTTCTAAGTCTACCAAACGTACGCTGATCCTTCAGAATATGTTAGACTCGAATTAGACAGCGCGATTTGACAGCACGACTAAAATTTTAATTCGGAATGTCTAATCGCGAAAATCGAATCGCCAATTTCCGTTATATTTTCGACGCGAGAACGAATCGATGATCTAAAAAGACGCGTGGCGCGGGGAGGAGCGGTGTACACGCGCGTAACACAATCTATGTTCAAACACCCGCAGGATCCCCGGTATCGAGTTGCTGGCTTTAGGTGGCGTTATTTGAGACAACCACCTGGGGCACGTATACACCGGATCGGACGTGGAACTTCAGGAGCCAGACACGACGAAAGCACTTCGTGGATGAGTGTCGGGGGCTGCTCTTCGGCCCTCGTTTCGCCGCTATCTGGCTCTCTAAAGTTGACGACACAAAGAAAAATCGATCGAAATGTTCACACGTGCTATGTTCGACCCTTCAACCGCTTTCGAAAATATCTCGCACACGCCCATCCCCTCCGCGACTTTTCCTCCCATCCCGCCTACCTCGCACGCGAGTATCGATCGATCGTTAATAAATCAAAAGAAAAACCAAAGTCCGTTACATTTGCAAACACCTGTGAGAACGTTAATAATTCCTTGTTTCGTAAACACGAAGGAAAAAGATACAAACAGAATATACACTAAGAAAAAAAATGTAAATAAATATATCTTTGATTAGTAAGAGCTGAAGCTCTATATATTGGAACAAATATTAAATGCTGGGGAATAACACTGTTTAACAGTGTTAACGCATATGCCGGATAAATTTTTCAGTTTAAAATTGTTCAGTTAAAATTGTATACTTCGTATAGCCTTTGCATAGAATTGTAAAAAACAAAAGCTAGTATTTGTAATTGTTACATAGAGAAATAATTATATATTATGGTCAAGGGAACCATTCCTTTTAATTCTACTGTTCGTTCTAATTTTGGTGATAATAACATTATATGCATATTACTACTACTATTTTACTACAAAAAATATGATAAAAAATAACTATAATTTTAGTAATATTAATCATATTTTTCAAACCTCCCAGCATTTAATATTTGCTCCAATATATAGAGCCTTGACTCTTACTAATCAAAGAAATGTTGAATTAAAATTATATACTTCGTATAGCCTTTGTATAGAAGAAACAATATTTAGTATTTGTAATTATTACATAGAGAAATAATTATATATTATAGTAAAGGAAACCATTTTTTTTAATTCTACTATTGGTTCTAATTTTCGTGATAATAACATTATATGCATGTTACTACTACTATTTTACTACAAAAAATATGATAAAAAATAACTATAATTTTAGTAAAATTAATCATATTTTTTTCTCTCTCAATATGCAATGACACGAGAAGGGAACACATGAAACAACATATAAATTATACCGGCGTACGGAGATACACCACGTTATCATACGACATCGATAAACGATAAATACTTATCAATTTATAAGCTGCTATTTTATCCACAGCCATCGCCTCTGCGTGACAGGCGTCTCAGTTTCCATTGATGCTATTTTGATCGTCGTAATATTCGCGTTTGAAATCACGTCGACTTCGCGGAACTACTTGGATTTATTGGGATAATATGCGAATATTTCCGATGCAGCAGGTTTGGTGAAGATAAACAGGTAATAAATGTATCACTTCTCACTGTCCTCTCGATCGCTCAACTTCTCTCGAGAATTTTTCGATTCTCTTCGACAATCTCTGGTATTTGCAGTGTTCTAGAAAGGTGCCATCAAATCATAACCAAATAGCCAGGTAACGAGATACAAACAGTGCGTCCGTAGTGCGAGGGGAGGATATCTCGGCAAGAGGTAAGGCTAGGGGACGACGACAACGGAGGACGAGGAGGTTTGTCACGCACACTCTCTGTCGGGACAAACTGTGAGCAAAATACTCGGACTGATTGTAGTAGAAATGCGCGGGTGTCTCATAAATATCACACCGCTCCTTTGAACCGCGAGGAAACACCGGAAACCGAAGTGAGAGGAATATCTCGCGGGTGTCTCGTAATTAAAGAATGCCGCGAGCGAGCTTTTTCTATCTCGCTATTGTTATGCCGATTGTGTGTATCACGGTCAACGTAGCCTCAAAAGGACGGCTACGCAACGAAGCCACTTCTATAAGCGATTAAACTTACTAAATTAGTTCCAACAGCGGAATACTCCGCGGAAGAAGATATAAATTATGCTTAAATATTCGCCCCCCTGGCGAAAATGTTCGAGAGATTCCCGGATATTTGAAAGATAGCGCGTGTAACGCGCTAAATTGCGTATTCAGAGTCGAAAAGATTCCATAAATAAGCAGTAGTTGCCGCCACTGACGTTCACATCAAAATCAGGTTGGCGCAACAACACAATCATATATACACAATATATTACATATTACTATATATACACAATTATTATTATATTATATTGTAGAGATTATCATCTAAATCACATGCACTGTGACAGAAAAAATATCTAAGAAATAAAAAATATTTATTCGGTGCGTACACAGGGAGAACGATTTAGTTGAATCAAATAAACGCTTCTTTGGAATAGTCCAAAAGAATTTTTTGAATAAAATTTTGTTTGAAGCAACAAAAATATTTATTTGCGGCTTAGTTTCAAAGAAATATTTTTGTTGTGTCAACCAAATAATTTGGACTATTCCAAAGAAACATTTATTTGCTTCAATAAATCGTTCTCTCTGTGTACTACCAACATATTTACTTGTGTATGAAATATGTAAGTGAAAATATGACATATTTCTCAGATAAAAATACATTTTCTCTAAACTTTAACTTTTCACTGAAAGCAGTTGTTGATTCTATTTAAATTTATTCTATGAGAAAACCAAGTTTAAATAAATAGAGATTATTGGTACCGAATAAACATTTATTTTTCAGATTTTTTCTCTCAGTGTAAAATTAATAGTTAAACAGATTGCAAAATGGATGAGAAAGTACCGCGAAAAACAATGAGAAGTTTAATGGAAAAAAATCACGGTGCGCTCCAGTTTTATTTACGCACACTAGTTTTAAAACGCGAATATTGCAAAATCAATGTGTTTTATAAGATAAATATGTTCGAGTCTTTAAACACAATTATTTCAACATGTGGTATATAAGCAAATTAAATTTTCCCGATAACCGTGTGGAAAATGTCACAGTTATTTCATATTTCGTTTTAACGGGAGATGCACCGAGACGTTACGTTCAACAGAGCTTTGTTTCACTTTACCTTGAACTAGTCTGTTGTTGTTGCTGCTGGTGCTGTTCTCAGGAAAGGAGTCTCAGGATACACAACCAGCATCTCTCGTCTTTTCTGTTGTTGAAAGATGCCAGAACACTCGCGACGCGAAAACGGCGGTTTCTTCGCCGTCGTATACTGAAACGGAAACGCACTTTTTTATTTTGCACTCTTCCTAATTCGCGTGTCGTAATTTACTCGACGTACACACGAGCGGATTTGGAGAAATCACGCGCGACACTGTGCGTATCTCGCTATCCAACGCCGTTATAAACCGGCTCACGTCTACACGTGTTGTTATTTAAAAGGTTGTTATTTGGAATTTTCGATACTCGCGCTACACGTGACAATGCGATACTTATCGTAACGCGACAACGTATGATGTCAGCTTATCGCGCGATTTTCTCTTTTTTTTTTAAATCCGTACTCACGAAAACCCTTGAGAACAATGAGAAGTTTTAAATGTAATGAAAAAAAATCATGGTGCGCTCCTGTTTCATTTACAAGATAAACACTAGTTTTGAAACGTGAATATTGCAAAATTAACGTATTACAAGATAAATATACTCGAGTCTTCAAACACGATTATTTCAACATGTGGTATACAAGCAAATTAAATTCTCCCGATAACCATATGGAAAATGTCACGGTTATTTTCGATTTCATATTGTGAAACACTTTTAAAACGATTTCGACGTACGAGTGTCACCTATTCTCTTCCCCTTGCCACCCCGCTCACTCGAGCTCTTACAAAGTTAAATTCACAATTATTTGAATCTTGATACACACTACGACGTAGAATATTTACTGATATAAAGTTGTTACTATGTTACTATGTCTCTTTTCTTTTAAAATATACTTTACACCCGTCAAAAGTATAAAACTAACGCTCCGTCGAGTGATTTTACTTCGAGATTATCCATTGACTTTTAACATAGAGTAATAATTAATATCCACTTTGATGCAAATGCAAAAATCAATGTCTTTCGTATTTATACGATTAAAATTCGATCGTTATCCTACAGAAAGACGATTTCACGTTCAACGGAAGCGCGGTAATTTTCCCCGTTTAACAGTTCTTGTTTCAAGTCGCTACGACGTCTACAAGTGAAGTTATTAACAATTATATCGATCCGCGCTCTAGATCATTCGGCGTTATCGCTGCGGTATGTCGCGACGTGGCGCGTCAATGGACATCGGAATGCGACTATGGCTACGGGTGAGTCACCTTGCGCGGTCGCACGCACGTAAGCGCCGGCACGCGCTCGCTACCTTCCCCCCCCCCCTCCTCCGGCGGCTTAGATAAGCACGTACCCCACTCAATTGCTCGCTGTAACTAATGTAGTCGTTCACCTCACTTTAAAAGTAAATGCAATGCGCCGACATAAGAGCAAATATCAAGTGTCATGTAAGTGCGAATTTCGAGTTTAAATCTGAATAAATAAATAATAGGTATTATATATATAAATTAAAAAAGATATATATATATATATATATATATATAAAACCTATTATTTATTATTTATAAAATAAAAATAATAAGCCATTAATTTGCTCATTATATTGCAACAAAATTAAAAATAATAGACGTTATAAATAATAGGCATTATATATAAATAAGCATTACATATAAATAATTAGGAAAGAGAGATATATATATCTCTCTTTCCTAATTATATATATCTCCTAATTATATATATCTCTCTCTTTATAATGAGCAAATTAGTGGCTTATTATTTTTATTTTGTTGTTACATCGATTTATTCGCGACAGTTATAAGGAAAGAGAGAGAGAGAGAGAGAGAGAGAGAGAGAGAGAGAGAGAAAGAGAGATATATATATATCTCTTCCTTAATTTCTATATATAATACCTATTATTTATTTATATGTAATGCTTATTTATACATAATGCCTATTATTTATAACGTCTATTATTTTTAATTTTATAGCAATATAATGAACAAATTAATGGCTTATTATTTTTATTTCATAAATAATAAATAATAGTATATATATAAATTAAGAAAGAGAGATATATATCTTTCTTTCTCTCTCCTCGCGAATAATCGAGATATATGTATCTCTCTTTCTTAATTTATATATATATATATATATATATATATATATATATATATA